TGCTGGTACACAAATCACGGCACGGGCTCCCCAAAACCTGTCCCAGGTGCAAGTGCGGGTCTCACCTGAGGCAGCCTTTGTTAAACTTTTTAAGAAAATTGGATCAGCCATTTCTCCTTTACAGCCTGAACGGGGAACTGGCCACTCCCAGCAAGAACCTCAGCGGGGGGTTAAATGTATTTTCCCACCGGAAGGTGTGGAAGTAATCACAACATTCTGAAAGCTTACCTTCAGACTGAAGGCAACCTTACGTCTTACCCGTTTGTCCTGTATCGATGCTATGTTAGACCTGTAGCAGCAGACAACAGTTACCATATTTATCATAGATGAAGTGAATGTATTTATCACAGATATGACTTATATATAGATATGTAACTTAGACCATATAACTGTGAAATCCAGAAGTGGCCTCGCTTCGCTTCTCACTGAATTCAGGAGAGGCAGCAGTACCTCAGGCCACCTGGGATTTAAGTAATAGCTTTCTGCTCAGTTACAAATTCAGAAGATTTAAGGGAGCCTAAAAGCAGCTTAAACATATGAGCACAAGGAGTTAATCCGAACACAAATCAGAGAAAATACCGTAGCCGCACATATCTCATTCTGCAGCTGAACACAGAGAAAGGAGGGAGCAGAAGACAGTAAAAAGGAGGAGAAGGCAGTGACGGCCGCACGAATGCCATCCTCCCCTCCCTCGGGCGGGCCCTCCAGCCCACCGCTCTCCCCATCAGTCCCGCGCAGCCCGATTCATTCCCTTCACTTGACACATCCCTTGCAGCCTCTCACAGCCGGGACGTACAGTACGGAAAGACGACGGCATCGCCATAGAGGAAAACGCCTTAACACACAGGTCGGGTAAGGAAAGGGCCCCGTGCTACTTTCAGAGGTGGCACCTTCTGAAAAGCATCCTCTGAAAACAAACAAACACACAAACACACCCCACCCCACCCCCAGTTTTCTTAAGGATAAAAGCCACAACGTTCTTTATCAAATTTTTATTGGATTCAGTAGTGCTAACGGCAGCTCTCAGAAAGAGAGAAAAATAAGTATCACTGAAGCTTCCTGCTCTTCTTAACTCCCGCGCGAATGCCAGACAGTTCTCCGGCGTATCTGTGCAACTCCCTGCGAACTTCGCGGACCTGGCCCTTGCGGCGAATCTTGGCCCGCCGAAACTTCTCCCGATGCTTGACCCTGGGGTTGCGATCGATCTTCTTCCTTCTGGGCGTGAGGCCTTTGTTCTTGATCATCTGATAGGTCACCCCTCTCTTTTTATCTGGATCCTCTCCTTCCAACACCGCTGCTTCTTCTTCTTCAAGCGTGTCTTGGTCTTCAGTTCTCTTCCTCTTGAGTTTCAACTTCTCCTCCATCATCTTGTAGTATTTCAGGGCAGCCTCCTCATCCAGCTCCGACTCATCTGACGATTCAGCAGCAGCAGCCCGGCCATTAGCAAGCGCAGGAGCACGTTTTGGTTGGTCTTTGTGAACATCCAGTGGGAGGAACAGTGAAAACTTCTTCTCCTTCCGTAATTTATCTTCCTTCTTATCATAGTAGTTTTTCAAAAGCATACGAACTTGCGAGGATAACTTTTCATCTATCACAGCTAGGTCGTTGATTATATTTCTATAAGCAACCAGCCGTTCGATGATGGGGTGACTATGCACCGGCACCCTCTTGGACTTCAAAACCAGATAGAAGCTGATATTGGCACAGTAATTCAAGTAGAGATGATACTTGGTCTGCAAATAGCGACTGCCTTTCCCTTGCGGGATCGTGCCGTTTTTGACCATTTGCAGCAGCGGGTGCAGTTCGTCCTTGAGCTCCATTAGCTTGACTTCAAAGTCCTCGATCAGCTGCAGGAGCTCGGGGGACTCCTGCTTCAGCAGCTTCAGCTGCTCCTTCTTGGAAAGGGCCTGCAAATCTTTGTCAATCTTCTGCCCCTTGCTGTCGTGGGTTTTCTGCCGCTCAGTCAGATAGCCCTGGATCACATCCAGCCCGTAATCGTCTTCCCCTAAGTCCTGCACCAACCGCCTCTGGATGACTTGAGCCTCCTGCTCCTCTTCCTCCTCCTCAGCATCGAGTTCTTGCTGGCTACGCTTGCCCTTGGCCTGGGCACCGCTCCCGTAGTCCGTGTCGTAGTAGAGCTGCTTGCGTTGGCCCCAGGAGAGCTCGTGGGGGAGCTGGGTGTCCTGACGGCGCTCCTCCAAGTCGCTTTCCATGGACAGGTCCCCATCTTCCTCCTCCTCCTCCTCCTCCTCCTCTTCGCCTTCTCCATCCTCATCCTCCTCCCCTTCTCCATCCTCTTCTGCGCTGTGGTCCACGTAAAGATTCAGCCCCTGCACCTCCTCCTCTTCTTCCTCACCGTGTCCATCCTCCTCCTCCTCGCTGTCCTCCTCGGGCAGCTGCAGCCCCAGTACTTCCTCCTCCTCCTCCTCCTCGCTGTCCCCGGCCTCCTCCCCGCTCTCCAGGGCCGCCATCACCGCCTGGAACTGCGCTTCGTGGAAGTCCTCCCCCTCCTCCGCCAGGTCCTC